TTGGGTTTGCCCGCCCCTGCTGCGTGCCGCACCCCACCCCCTATGGTACCCCACCCCTGCCCTGTGCGGAAAGCGGCAATCTGCGCAGTAGTTTCCCGCATCAGACATGAATTACAATGCTTAATTATGAGGGTTGTATGGCGATGGTGATGGTGGCAGCTATTCTTTGGATAGTACTGATGATGAAGATGACAACGGCAATGATGATGTTTAGCATGATGTCAAAGATTATCTGATTGTCGACTCATGTCGCCGTCTAGAGCAGCACAACATCACGAGCAGTACCACCGGTGCCACAGCAAGAAGGAAGATAAAGAGTAACACATAAGAATACGAACTTCAAGAACGGCGGATGTGGGCCGGCGGCCATATCGTGGACATGAATGGTGGTGGAGAATATGAGAACAAGTGCTCTTAAAGTCTTAAAGTTCCACGTAACAGCAGTTGAGTCATTAATCGTGTCAACAGGTCCTTGTGTTACAGGTGTTGCGTATTCCAATTCCGGCCAACCAAAAGCTCAGCTAAGGGGGGTGCAGAGCCCACCACAACAACGAAGCCACAGCGGCGGGGTGGGGATGCAGGAGAAAGGGTACCATCACAGGCCCCACCCCACAGGGGTGGGGGAGCAGGGGGGAGGATAGCATGAAATGGGGGGGGGGGAGTGGCAGCCCTGCATCAAAGAAAAAAATACACACACACACACATGTGCATGTGTATCTAAAAGCCGAAGCCCTGAAACCTTATGACTTGGAACCGCTCACCGGGAAGGAAGCCTCACGTGCCAGACGTCAGTCCTGACCAAACAGCCTGTAAAAGCCAGGAGGGTTCAGGGCCGTCTGGTTAAGGGGATCTTACTTTTTTGAACTGTGCGGCTCGAACTAAGCCTCTGATCTTTGAGCCCTCATCCCAATGCAGGTGCTCGCCTTTGGCGAAATTTTGCCGCAGGCATGTTGATCTGGGGCTCAGGGCCGCAGGCTTCAAAGGGCTCAAGGGCAGAAGGATTTGGTGTTGTCTTATGGCCCTATGTCTTTAAAACTTCAGACTCAGGGCTATGCTAGTGCCTTCGAGCTGTGGCGCGGAGAGGCTTCGGATTTCACCGTGCTGTCGCCTCTGTGTCGTGAGCACGTTAAACCCGTTTCCCATCTGGAGGATGCCCTGAACCCTAAACCCAAGATAGGAGCGGGGTATAGCGGGGTAGTCTTTGCGATCCCCTTTGGGGTCTTGAACACGCGGGTGAGGTATTCTCTTGGGGACTCCACACAGCAGACTAAACATACCCAGGGACCAGACGCAGGCCTCTTATCATGAGTCCGTGGCAAGAGGCTCAGAGTAATTAGCTTCCAAGGAGTATCCCATCGTGCCTTTAGGGTTCAGGGTTGAAGGTTTAGGATTCAGGGTTTAGGGTTAAACCGTCAAGCCCTAAACCCTAAAACCCAAAGCTCTACGGTAACCCTTACAGGCCCCCCTCTTTGGAAGGCCGTGTGCAAAGCCTACGGCCTCGCGGTGGGCGCGGCGGCCGCCCCACTCGTGAGATGCACCTTGGCAGGTTCGGGTTGTGTGCTTTCGGATCCTTGAAAATGAAACCCTAAACCCGAAACCCTAAAGCCTGAATCCTCAACTAAGCCCAAGCCCATGTGAAGTTAAAGAGCTCCATTCTATGACATCATCCTTCCGGCTTTGAGTTCTTTGATGTTTTGGTTGGGAGGTCGGCTTGTTGTTTGGGGGTTTGTCGGGTGTGCTGCAGTGTAGTGTTTTGGCGACCTGGAAGGAGTTATGATATGGCATGTCGTGAGTTGGCATAGACTGACAGTTCAGAGTTAGTTCCGAGCAGACATCCTAAGCCCTAAGTCGGCGAGCCTTTTGCGCACCTTAGGGGCTAAATCGCACTCTTGGAGGCCTCCGAAAACTCCACGTGGTGGTGTGTGGACCTTCATACATGTATGGTGACTGTCAGTGCAGTTCTCACTGTCGCGACTTTCAGGGCTCTTAGGCGTTAGAGGCTGTGTCATCTAGCGGCATGTCTGGAAGCCCATCTCCGCTGCCGGACCTAGGTCAGAAGTTTAGAGGGCTCTAAGGTTTCAGCTTCAATCCTAACGCCCAAGCCCCACACTCCACCGCACTTCATCAATGCCTTGTCCAAAACCCTGAACCTTTAATCCTCGCTGAGGCCTGCGTGCTACATGCTAAATCCTATTAATTCCGAAATCCTAAGCCCCAAAATTTCAGGTTTATTGGTGCTTTGCTGGCCCATTGCTTGGCCCATTTCCAAGCTTCTGGATTGCGTCCTCGGCCACGACGAAGGTGAGCGTGGATGAGACTGGGGTTTCGCTAAGGGTTTGGGGGTTCCTCTACAGATTCTTCCACAGGCTAGGATGTCCCTCAGCGACGAAATCCCCCAGCCCCAAGCCTTCATCCCCAAGCCTTAAACAGCCCTTACACCCAGACATCCTAAACCCAAAGCCCTGAAGCTTCACCGTACATCCGTGGACCTCAGACCCGAGGCCCCCTACATCAGGACACTTTTTCGCGGGTGCGGAGATGGCCGCAGCACTGGACATCCATCGGGAGAGGGGTCACCTCTCCCGTGAGGAGGCCAGGATTTGGATTTCAAGCCTCGAATTAAACCCGAAGCCCTAAACCCTAAACCCTAAGGAACCTCAAGCGCGAAGGCCATTGTATGTCAAGGAAGGGCCGAGGTCTTTTTTCTGGCGCTTTCTGACAGGTTTCGGGGCCCACAACCCGTAAAACACTCATCCCATAAAAGGCCTCGGGCTCTGAGGGTTGAGGGATGTCAGATGTGGACTTTCGATTCTTCCGCCCCGGAATCCGTAACCATCCACGAAGGCCTGCAATGCTGGACGAGCTCGGATCTATCATCCAAGGTTTCAGACCTGATGTAGGAGGCAAGGTACAGATAGCACCTTAAACCCTAAACCTTCAACCCTAAATCCGCCACCCCTTAGCCCTAAAAACCCTCAACGGGCCAAGAGAAGGCTGACATCATGCAGGGAGCCCTGTGCATGGCCCAGAAGCGCTGTCAGGACCCCGGTGATGGGCTAAGGGGAAGCGGCCCTTGTCCCGGATCTTCGAAACCTCTGTGCTTTTGGGCTCTTACTCTAGATGCCGGCCTTCTTAGTAGTACTATCCCGTTCCAGTCCTTGTCACCATTGTAGTACGCGATACCAAGGCCCGGCTTTTGGTTTGATTTGTAGCTTTTAATGGTCTTCTCAGACTGCCAAGCATTGTAAGGGGCCTTTGCGTCACAGCTATAAGCCCGAAGCGACCCCAAAAGCCCGAAAGACAAAGCAACACCAGAAATCCTACAATACTGGAACGAAGTAGCCCCAAACCCCAGGCCCAAACCCTGAACCTTAAACCCTAGGCCCAAGACCTTGAATCCTTAGCAATAAACCCTAAACCCTAAATGCCGGTCCAACGCAGGACTGCATGACGCCAATCGGCCGCGTGCAATCCCTTGCCACCGATGCCCTCCTCGACGAGGTCGGCAATGTGTTTTTGAGAGACCCAACTTAAACAAGAAGCGTTCCTTAACCTGCCTAGACGATAGAGAGGTCCTCAGTATGGCTTAAGGTGTATGATGGCTAGATTGAGAGGTACTGGGCTCTTTGAGAAGGCAGTGGTTGGTATTGGGATGGGGGGCGGTTCAGAACACAAGTTCCAGGTCCACAGGAGCCGGCATTGTTGTGCTACAATATACACCAAAATCCAAAGACACTAGAGAATCTGAGAAAGCGGCACACCGATCGAAACGGACTAGAGATTTTGAGAAGCTTGATGCTGTAGACGAGTTTTTGCCTCAAACCCTCTCAGACCCGAAACCGTAAACCTTCATGTGAAAGTCACCGCTACGAAGCTGCTGTCTTTTCCGTCATCCCTTTCTTGAGCGTCGTTTAACACTTCAAACTCACCCGAAGCCAGGCGCCTGAACCAACAAAAAGCAAGAAAACTCCCTACACCGAAAACCCTCGTTCTCTGGGCGAGGCTACCATGGACTGGATCGTGCAAACGGGCCACTCCCGAATACCGGTGCCTTGGTGTTGCCGGGAGGGTGAACATACCAGAAGCCGTGACTTCTTTGACCCAGAACCCCAAAGACCTCAACCTTCAACCTTTAAGCCCGCAACCGAATGCCCTGCACACTCGATGAGGACCCGGGTGGGATCTGCACGTGCGTCTCCCTGGGAGTTTCAGGAAATGAGAGATCATAAATAGTTGGCCCCGCAGGTGGTTTATCATTTACAGTTGTGGTATTCAGCATCCTTCTTGTGGGGATCCCGTCAATGTGCTGGGGAGTGTTTTGGAAGACTTGCCTCAAAGCCTCATCAACGCTTCGCAAACTTTATGGCGGGGCCGTTGAGGTCGCAGGTTTCGGCTTTGGGGCTCGAGGAGCTCGGGCTATAGGATCCTGCGCAGTCTGATGCTAATTATTTGGAGATTCATGGGTAGTTATAAGCAGGGTTATAAGTAGGGTTATAAGTAGGATGGCTATACTTATAACCCATATTAGTTGACTTGCAACCAAGTAGGAACTCATAGCATTTGCAGAGCTTTACCCTGTCAGGCCCGAGATCGACACCCGGAGGGTTCGAAGCCAGAGAGGATGAGACCAGAAGCATAGGGCAAGGTTTAGGGTAATGAACGAGGGAGCCTGAGTCAGAAACCTTGGGGGTCCATTTTCGGGGGTTCTATGGATCCAACTATTCTGGGGTTATAGGACCAGGGTTTCTTCATCATGCTCCTACATAAGTACTAAGACCTGCGAGCTCATCGAAGAGCTGGAAGGACAGCATGAACACCTGGGGGGGGGGGGGGGGGGGTTGCCCTAAGCCCCACTGGAAGAGCCCCGAAAAAGAGACGAGAGACCGATCCCCCCGAGGTGCACGAGCCCGGCAAGCCTGGGAAGTTCCTGGGGGTCCTCCTCATCAAGAAGCTCATCAAGCTAAGGCACCCAAGTCTAAGAAGAGAGTTTGGGATTTGGAGTTTTTTTTTTTGGTTTTGTTTTAGTGGTTTTTAGGGGTTTAGGGCCCTGGCCCGAAGAAGAGATGTCGAGTTCAGAGTTTAGGGGTGCAATCGGGAGTTCAGGATTTTAGGGTTGTTCCGAGCACCAACCTTCAAATCTTAGTTGTTAGAGCTGTTGGGAAGGCGATGTCCGTGGCGGGTCTTGCGTTTTTCGGGGTTGTAGTTCCGAGGCCAACCCTGAACACTGAACCCAGAAATCCTGAACCCGAAACCCGGAACTCTGAACATCGAGCCCGCGACCTGGAACCGCCAGAAATCCGAATCCAGGAACCACGATCCGAAACACCAGCCGGTAAGCGCTGAGCCCTGCACCGGAAGCCTTGCATCCGGTTGCAGCTTATCCTTTTCAGGATTCGAGCTGCTAAACGCATTTGTTGTTGATTGAACCATGAGAAGAAGGAAAACTGAATACAATATCAAAAATTGGGGCAATATTCAGAATAGTGATAGCAATAATTATAATCGTTTGATGCTTCCCTCTCTTATCCTGTGCACTTCAGAATGAATGCCAATGTCGCGACTGATACTATTGCTGCTGACATGTTACTATGACAGCGGGAATCATCGTATTTCAGGAATCGTCATTGCCATGTCCAATTTTGCTTAGTCAAAAGCTTTCTGTCTGATGAGCGTTGCCATCAATAGCATGACTGCCATCATGCCGTTCAGTGCCAGTACCAGCAATATTTTCGCTCTGATTACTTTCACAGCTAATGTGTTCTTTACCTTGCCAGTGGTTCGTCTTGCGACGGTTTTTTATGGTTTGCATCTTGGCCTTCTTTTATGGATTCCGATATCTTCACAACTGTGTACATTCTGTTCTGCTCTTATATTCCTGACGATGGCACTGGAGTCCCAAGCCCCGCATCCTAAACCCCCAACCCGAAACCCCTACATCCCCAGCCCCTAAGCAACGGATCCCAAAACCCCGAAGCCCAAAACCCTGAGCTCTAAACAGATCCCAAACCCCGAAACCCTGAGCTCTAAACAGATCCCCAAACCCGAAACCCTACAAACCCTGAGCTCTGAACAGATCCCCCAATCCCCGAAACCCGAAAAAAAAAACCCTAAACAGATCCCCCAAACCCCGAAACCCGGAAAAAAACCCTAAACAGATCCCCCCAAACCCCGAAAGCCCTAAACC